ACCCTGTTGTGCTGGCCCAAGGACCTTCCAGCCAGGGAAACCGGCTGCCCCGCCTCTCCCCAGAAGCTGCGGCCCAGCCACCCATTCAGGCTGGTCCTCCCAGCCTCACCACCATGAGGACATTTCTAGCTGATTTTTCTTTCCGTTTCTGAACAGAAACACTTTCCTTATTTGAAATAATGCCAATTCTGGAGAGAGATTGGTATAATTAAGTGGATTGTAGGCAAATGAAAAAAAAGTAAAGGATTTCTTGTGGAAGCACAGCAGGTACCCCTTGAGGTCCCAACTCTGGTTCTCAGGACCCGGATCCTCAGGCTTTGTTCTGGGTCTGCGTCAGAGCCTTCAGACGATCCACACCACATCACTGTGCCGTCAGCAGCCCACACGTTACTCCAGTTGGAAACGTATTTCTCTGATCACGATTAACAGGACTGTGTGTGGTGTGCGTGCGTATATATCTGATTAGCCTGTAACTGACGGCACTGGTTCCCTCACAGGCAGGAAGCAGATTTCTGCCAACGTCCTGCTCCCTGCTGAGAGCAAAAGGGTTAGCAGCCCCTCAGCTCCATCTGTTGACTACTTCAGGCAACTGTCATCTCCTCCCAAGAGTCCTCGTGTCCCAGGCACTCTGATTTTTTGTTCCACTTTCCTTTAGCTTTTTGGCCTCTGGATTAATTTTAGGACTAAATTGTATATGACTAACCACACTGCAGACAGACTAATTTCATAATTGCCTTTAGGATGGAGAAAGTAACCTGTTGCTGGCATTAGTTCCTGTTCACATTAAAGAAGTGGACTGATGTTTGTGTGGGTCAAACTCCTGATGGGGAAATTGCAGTCGTTACCCTGCCTGTTATTTTTGTCAACTCTTTCACCTGCTTCTCCTAGGGACTTGTCCTATTTTCAGGTTTCACCCACCTTTCTAGTATCCCTACAAAGTCCCTTCAACCCCCTCCCAGCCCCAGGGATGGCAGACCTTTTTTCCTGGGTTTGTCTCACCACAGCATTGAAATGTTTTCTTCACTGTTTACTCAGCTCTTTTTGTTAACTCTCCCAGTTTTTGTTCTGTATGTCACATCTCAAGCCAATCGGTTATTTTGAAGCATGGGTGAATCATTATCTACCTACTTCAGCCACTGCTATTCCACAAAAACAGGTACAAATTATGAAGACTGAAATTTTTCCTAAACTGCTTTAAGAACAAATTTAGTATTGTTAGACTGAGTTATCAGATTTAGGCTTGATAACATAAAGGAAAATTCTTAAGTCTATTTCCTGGCACATAAAGAAATTTAATAAATGTGTATTTCCTTCCTTCTTTAGAAGTCATTCAGCCTGTACTGTTTCAGCCTCTAAATTATGTGAGAGCTGCACCCAAGGTCAGAGAAATCAGAGCTCAAGAAACTTCCACCTTTCCAAAGAACAATTCTGATAAGTCAATATAGCAGAATTTGTGAGATAATTGAATCCTGGAGCTAAAATGGCCCTTAGAGATCATCTCTATTGACTCTTAAACAATTTGACTGACTTTAAATAGATTAGGAAATTTTAAAAAAAGCAGACAACAGGTCTGATTACTGGAAGATCTCAGCTTGACTTTTTCTTGAATATGAGCTCCAGTAAGCTGATGATATTGGCTTATTATGCTTCTTCTCCCAGGAAATAATCCTCTTCTCTTGGGTTCAGGTGCTTTGATATATTTGTTGCTTTAAAATCATAACCACTGACTTTTAGGGTGGTCCTTAAAGAGATCCTGCAGGTGCCTGTGAGAGCCGGTCACTGTACACTGGGATGACTTCCTTCTGAAATGACAGCACATCAAAACAGGTCGGCTGAAAGGAAGTGGCTGGGTCTGGGAACAGAGCACAGGCTTTGAAGTCAGACCTTCTTGGATTTGAGTCCAGAGTCTGGCACTTTCTGGTTGTGGGACACAGTGTCAGGAAGTCAGTAATTAAGTGCACTTGTAAGTAATTATTCAATGTGCATCTGCATTCTCTCCTGCCCTCCTACACCAGCTGTGTGGGTAAAATCTACTAGTAGGGTAAAATCTATTAGCCAGAAAAATATATCAGTACGAGAATCCTGTCTGTCATGTTCATTGCTAATTATAAATATGGGGTAAATGAATGAATGAATGAATAGGTGAAAATATTATAAAAGCATATAATACAAAGCTGTATTATATAAGTGTAGTTTTTCTTCCTGAAGATCATAAGCTTGACATCTAGGCATGTAGCATTTCCCCTCCTATGGAAAAATCAACATGCATCTCAAGAGGATTGAAATTTAATGATCTCTAAGGACACAGAAAAAAGCTTTTCGTCCTTTGGAGTGCTTGGAAAATTCTGACTTCTTTAGAAGGAAAAGGCAATGGTTTTGTAGTCAACATCTTTTTTAAAGTTCTTGTAAATCTTGTTTTTTGGTGCCTGGAAAGCTATTTCTGCAATATTGGAATATCTTGCCTTATTGATGATGGTCTAAAAGTGGCTGTTTTGCAAACAGATTGGAAAATCCCTCCCCCTACTTCCATTTGTCTTTTGTTGTTGTTGTTCTTTATAACAAAAACCAGAAGGGGATTTCACGAGAACAGCAAAACCAAACATAGCTGTGCAGCATTCATGGGAGTTTGTTTTACAAACTCATATTTCAAATGCTAAATTAACTGCAGGCACAAAAGAGTGAAAAAGAGAAACTTCTTAGAAAGGGGGGTATGGGGAGGGGGAGAGTAAGCCAGGGAAATTGATCAATATGCATTTCTTTTGATGTTCTTTTCCATGAAAACAGAACAGGATGTGAGGCACAGGAAAACTGGGACTTTTTCAGCCAGAACAGGGCTGAAAAATCTGGTTTTAACCTATGAGTCATTTGATGAGCAGATGCCAAATCTGGGGCCTCCCTGAGTGCTGCCCATCTCCCCCGCTTTCATCTGTCTGAGCAGCTGAGCTGGGCCCAGGCAGAGCACAAGCAGAAATCAGATTATCCATCATCCCTGAATTATGTCTCTTGTACTCCTCTATATATTAATCATGCTAAGGTGCCAGGATGTTTGCAAATGTTTCTAAGAGTAAAGGAATATCTACTGGCAATAATTGCTCATTGTGATATATTTTTTTAAAGCACAGTAAGAAAGAACTCTGAGTTGCTTCAAATTCCTGTGTATGTGGGGGGGATACACACATATCTATATGTATATATATATATGTACACCTACATATGTATACATTTGTGTATGTATATACACACATATACACACATATGTTACAAGTTATATACATGTATACATATGCATATATATAACTTTTTTCTTTAACAGAATGAATAATCTTGAAATAGAAGAATGCAGGTAAGCATGGATTCTTAGCCTCATAAATCAAACACCAGCATCTCAGAGCTGAGAGTAGCATGTTTTTTATTTGGATTTTGAGAACTGAGTTCAGCATTTATTCATTATAAATACCTATAAAAAAAGTCTCCAGACAACCATCTTGAAATAAAGGCTACTCATTCTGAAGAGCAGAATGACTTTCACTTTTTTCTTTTTTGGGGGGGCAACTCAGAAAGTATCTCCAGCTCTATGCCCAACAGCTCCACACACATTCCTCTATAAAACAGTAGTTGTTTATAGGTGTTTTCACCACCAAACAGGGGACATTTTCTTGAGCCTCAACTAATTTAAGAGGCAAATGCCTTCATAAAATTCCATCAGAGAGCACCTTCAATTGGTGTGTCTTTCCAACTAAAGCAAAAATTAAAGTGCACAGGAGCCTTCCTGGACTCTAGCAGCATTTGCCTCTGCATAGGATGCTTCCATTGCTGTGCTGTTGCCTGGCAACCTGCCACAGTCAATCCCACTCCTACCTGCTCAGTGCCTTGCATTGGTCCACACAGATTTTTTTCCCTGCTTATTTTCCCTGCAGTTAGCAACTGACTACCCAAAACTTACAAGGGTAGCTAGAAGTTGCTTAGGATAATTTCATGTCCTGGCCAAGTTGTGGGGTCTCATTTCGGGAGGTGTTGGGGAGTCACTGCCAATTTTTTTTTTAGTCTAACATTTGATATATTTTTTAATTATTTTTTTTTTATTTTTTACATCATTGTTCATTTTAGTCACTATCATTTTGAAGCAGTGACAGCTCAGAGCTTGCTCCTGCTTAGGAATTTATGAAGTAACAGACCCTAACGATGACCATGAAATGGAAAAGAGGGAGAGCCAAGTGGCTGCAGTGGAAGCAGCATAAGACTCAGGGCCCTGGAGATACAAAAGGTGCCAGCAAGGCTTCGGGTTTGGGGGTGGGACATCTACAGAAGCAGAGAGTCAGGAATATGTATGGAGAGAAGTGTAAATGTCATGCTGGACATAATGAATCAGAGTGTCAGGGGAACCGAGGCCAAGATGCCTCTCTGTTTCTCCTTAGTGGCCTGTCACCAAATGTACTATTCCAGGAGCTGGTGTTTTACTAAACACCTTCCTTCAAATCACAAAGTTACTTCAAGGAAGTAGACACATTGGGAGAGTTCTTAGTGATTCCCTTTTAAGTTCTGGTATGTTACTGCCTACCCACAAGGCTATCCCATCACCCCTGCTGAACCAAGCATATCACCTGCCCTCCTGCTAGTCCCATGATTGGGCCAAGCTGGTCAGCAGTCCTTGGCTAAGGGAGAAAATTCCCTAGACAAGTCTTTATGTTATAGGTCCACCTCATGAAGGGAGGTGCCTCTTCCTCACCCCCACTTATATGCAGCTGTCTTGGATTATAGGTCCTCGCATGACAGGAACCAGACTTCTGAGTGGGGAACTACTAGGAACTTGAGGTGGAACTGAGTGGACACGTGGACCTACATGACAGAGGAGATAGGTGGGCCTGCTCTTCTTTTTATGACTCCTGACTTGCACCTAAGGACTGGAAGGAGACACATGGAGGAAAGACACACAGCGACACTACAAGAGGTACTTGGAAGAGACAATAGCAGCTACTATCTTGGTTTGTATATAATTTTGAATTTTGATTCTCTCCTTCTGCCTCAGCTCTCTGAAACCTGCCTAACCCCTTTCTTGTGATTCACCATCAAAAAGTACCTTAGATTAGTGGCAAGTTTTTGGGTCTCAGTGGTTCCACTTCAGGCTGAGCCTGTTTGGCTGGCATTCGCCCATTAGAGTATAGGTAACTTGTGGTGTTTTACTAGAAATATCCTTTATTTTCTTCTCTCTTTATACACACTAAATCTATTAAAGCTCTTTCATACTAAGAGTATGCTTTTGTGCAGTGGATGGCCAGACCCCTTTTAGAAGGTTGTACCCCTTTATAATGTGAGGTTCCTGTGTGCCATCAGTCACATCCTAACATTGAATGGAAATAACAAACCTGTCTGCAAAGATCATAGTCAAGTACATATTCCCTGTTACCGAATGCAGCACATATTTGGAAAAGAATAAAATCAATTTTCAGAGGTAGGCAAAGATTACCTCTTGACAGAGAGCCCTGATGGTGATCTAGTCCCTGAATCCAGCTGGTTCTGAGGCTAGTTTTTCCATGATTAGGTTTCATTTGCTTATAGAGTTTCTTTTTCGGATTAAACAAGTTCAAGTTGGGTTTCTATTATTGCAACTTAAGGACTCTTAAGTGGTATACTGCCACCTGAGCTTTACAGACAAGAAAACTGATGTTCAGAAAATGTGACATGGTGATTTGTGGTAAGAAGCAGATCTTTAGTTTTTTTTTTTCCCAGCAACATAATCTCCTGTGGTGTTTTCACCCTTCTGTTTTTACCCCTCTCTACCCCTTCTCCTAGATGTCTCATATCTATGGTCAGCTTTCAAGGTTTGTCTTTGTCTGTCCCTTTTTGTGGTTTTTCTATATTCCACATATAAATGAAACCATCTAATATTTACCCTTTTCCTCCTGATTTATTTCACTTAGCATCAATGCTTCCAGCTCCATCCATGTTGCTGCAAATGGCATGAGTTTATCTTTTTTTGATTGCTGAGTAGTATTCTGTTATGTATATGTACCACATCTTCTTGATTCAGTCTTCTGTTTTGGGGAATTTAAGTTGCTTCCATATCTTGGCTACTGTAAATAGTGCTGTGATAAACATAGGGTTGCAGGTTTTCTTTTATATTAGTGATTTAAGTTCTTTGGGTAGATTCCTAGGAGTGCAATAGGTAGGTCACATGGAAAATATGTGTGTTGAGGAAACTCCATACAGTTTCCATAGTGGCTGGAGCAGTTTACAGTTCCACCAGCAGTGTAAGAGGGTTCCTTTTTTCTCTATATCCCATAATTGAATAAACCAAGGATGGAGAGATTGAGCAACTTGCAAGGTTACATGCTGGACTTGAATCTAGACACTGACTCCAGAGGCTCTTGCCTTACCAGTATTTCACTCAGTAACAGGGGTGGCGCATTTTGGGTTATGCTTTTACAGAGACCCATTTGCCATCATATCAATAGATTATGGTCCAACCTGTGGTGGTATTTGTTTTATGTTTTGTTGTTTTACTATTTGGCAAAACACATCCAAGGATTATTTTAAACAGAATTATTTAGAAATCCTTCCCTGTGAAGGCTGACCTATGTTCTTACATATGAAACTGTCCACATCTTGGGGACTACAACGGCCTTTCTCATAATGATAATACCAATTACATCCCATAATACACAATCAGTCTGCCCCACATATGTGTGTTCCACTGTGTCATCTGGGAGTAGGGCTTGTCCAAAGGGCACTCAATTGCGTATTCACATCACTAGCCTGTCGTCTGTAGAGGATGGTGTGGTGCATCCTTGTTGGGGGTTTGTGGTTATTAGAAGTTACTGCTTTTGTTGCTTTGAGTTTTTCCTCTGGCATTCTTCTTATGAGTTCAAATGCCATTTACTTGTTGAACTGGAACTTAAGTTATGTTCGTATATATCTGCAAGGAGAGTCTTTAGCCAACAAGCATGAATTTTTATGCATGCATCCGGAGTGAGGAATGGGGCTGGAGGGCTAAGCAGCCTCCTGTGCAGGTGGGTTTTCAAGCAGATCAACCGCCAGAGGGAGCTATATTAGACTGTCTTCGGGATAGGGAGCAATTCATTGTATTGACAATTTCACATGATTCAATGAATAAGATTTTTATCCATGAAGGAACATGGTCTGGGGCGACGTTTCTGTCATGTGAAAGATTTGCCATCTACTCCCTGCATGTTTGCCTAGTTATAGTTTCTCAGCTCCTCTTAATTACACAGACCAGATGCTTTATGACTAGAAATAAAACACAAAAAGAGAAAGAGCATCAAAGACAAATTGTCTTTCACAAAGAATCATAAAATGAAAGAAACTTAATTTGTAAATTTTCTAGTACTGTAATTAAGTAGTCTGGTCACTGGCACACTTCACTTGCCACAGTCCAATTAGTTTTAGTACCAAGTGCATTTAGTACCAAGTACCAAGTAAGCATTTTTTAAAATTAGCATTTTGGTTAATTTCTTTTTTTTGAATGAGCAGTAAAGGAAAACATCAATGCTGATTTCCAAATCTCTTAATGGAAAAGTTCATCAACTGGAGAATGTGCCACGGAAAATCCTTTGGTAGTGCTCACTTAAAAAATATCTTTTTTTAACTATACAAGTAACACATAATACATTCTCTTTGTCGAAAAATGAAATTTTTCAAACCCGTTTTGAAAAATAACGTCAGGCTCCCACTACCATCTATATGACCAAAGATAATCATGATTTCTAGAGCTTTCTTTGTTTATGTAGGTAATGATACTCCCTCTGAAGGACATGTTTCTCTTTTACCCTTCAAGTAGTCAAAGCATATGTCAGGTCTTATAGAATACCATAAAGAGCACTGGACCTGCATTTAGTAGGCCTGCATTTGAATCTCAACTCTATCCCCTGTAATGGGCTTGACTTTGCAGAGCCACAAAAATGTTCTGCACATGGAGCTAGCAAAACCGATCTCAGACATTGATTCATTCATTTATCCTACAGGTATTTACGGAATTCCTTCTAAGTGCTAGGTACCTAGAAAGATGTCTTACAAAAAAGTAAACAATTACAATACAGTATGCTAAGGAGCATGATAGAGAAATATGAGGCGCTCTGGCATCATAGCACCCAGGAGTCAGGGAATATTTCCTGGAGGAGATCATGACTAAACTGGATTCTGAGAACAACAACAACAACAACAAAAAACCAAATTAAATGGGCAAATAGGGGCTCAGGGTGTGAGTCAATGTGTAGAAGGTTTGCAGAAGTTGAAGCAATTTTCCAGAGAAAACATTATGTCTGAAGGTTCGTTGGCTAAAGAAAATTGAAGTATATTTTAGTTGTTTTTTTTTTTAAAGTTCAGATGAAGTATAGTTGAAATAGAGAAATTAAAGGGCGTATAACTAGAGATGAGGTGAGAAGTCAGCACTGGATCCCACCGACTATAAACAGCTCAATTTAAACAGGTGCATGCTATGTTCAGATTTGCCCTGGAAATGATAACTGATAAAAATCTTATCTATTATTAACACACTATTCCTTTAGCCAACAGCGTCAGCACCCTCATCAACAGTGATTGCTATCTAAAAAGCAATTTCCAAGGGGAACAAATAAAGAGAAGGCTGGCTGGGGTAGGTGGTGGGACAACTGACAATGGTGATCTGGAATCAATACTCCTTTACGCCTAACCCTTTGTCCTTTTGTAGTCTGAATGTGGCTCATCTTTTCTCTTCCCTAAAACCAGACACCTGAAAAATGAGTGAAGAAAAATAAACAGGAAAATTCACCCAAAATCCAGAGTCTTGGGATTCTAGATCATCACTGGCCCTATTCTGTTATGTGAATTTCTATTGTTTAGCTGGACCCCTGAAGTCTGGACCCCTGAGTGGAAGCATCAGGCTAGAGAGCCAGACTCCATCAAGCTCGCACGTGATGCCCAAAGCCTTTCTGTTCTCAGGATCTATTTCAGCAAAGGAACAGGAAATGAGAAGTGAGCAAAGGCTCCCCGTTTCTTAAATTTTCATCATTAAAGTAGAAGGGGTATGAGGGCATGAAGAAAATGGTAGACATTATCACCTTCTCTAGCTCACGCATTCACTGATTCCTACATTTGATGAACCTGTTCAAAAACAGCTCAGTAGGTGCCAGTTTCTCTTCAATTCCCTCAGGGAAAATCACTGCATTTGTAGGGGGTGGAAAGGGCACTGCACCCATCCCAGCTGAATGTCCACCTGGGGATGAAGCCACAGAAGCAACCAGCAGTAGGGCACAGATGAAAGTGTCATGGGACGTTTTGAAATATAAATTGATCCTTTTTCCTCTCTCATTATTAAAACCAGACAAGACATACTATGCCAGGAAATGAAAGATACAAGTGAGCCTCATGAGAACAGCTCCACTCTTGGCTTTGAGTTCCAAAAGTCATGAAGTCATGGATTTGCAAGAATCTAGCAACAGGCTGGGAGTTGGGAAGGATCAATTTCTTTGGCTTCAAGAAGCTTAGCTTTAAATATTTGGTACTAAGCCTAAAGGATTCAGAGCCTAGACAGGGGCTGGTAAATTTTCTCTAAAAGCACCAAATAGTCCTTTCTCAACTCTGCCATTGTAGCAGGCAGTTCACAGAGGATAACTAAAATAAAATAAAATAAAATAAAAAATGAGTGGAACTATGTTCTAATACAATTCATTTACAAATACAGGCTGTAACCAGTTCTGCCTCAGGAACTATACTTTGCTAATTCGGCCTAGAGTATATTTTGGGAAATTAAGAGGGCAGGAAAGAATAAGATCCTTTGTGGTATGGAGAAAACATTTTAAAAGGGATTGGAAAAGGAAAGCAAGAAAATTTAAATATTATTGTGTCATTAATCTCTTTGCCTCATCTCAGAGCTGAACCTGAGTGGAAGAGGAAGTTGCAAATAAAATCCTGGGAAGGGTTGGAATTTGGGAATAGAGAACCTTATACCCAGAACAATCTCCCTGATCATAGGAAGAGACAGTCCCGAATAATACTGAACTTTCCACACACCCAAGTGGGGTATGGAAAGTGACTCTGGTGGTTTCACTATCCTTGGCTGGTCCACAGAATAGTGAAGAATGAGGTGAGTGGATCCCAGGCAGAGCCAGAAGGTGGATAGCACAGAGAGAAATCACCATTGGTTGGAGTCTAGTGGATGCCTGGTTGGCAGAACCATCATTAAGACTGGCCTCACCAGATTAGACAAAGACATCAGTTGAGCATATGCAAGGAGAAAAGCTTGTAGAGGATGACACCATCATACATCTGATGAAACTTCTCAATGCTTGGATTCCTGCTGAGCAGGAGGAAAGAAGGGAAAAGAGAATGTAGAGACCATCTAAGTACTGAATCCAGAGAGACATATAGTCTAAACCGGAAGCAACAGAATTACCTTGAATTGTGAAGGTTAGTTTTTCTATCACAGCCAAAAAAAAAGGTATTTGAGAACTAAGCAAAGTTCAAGTGTGAGAAAATAAAATCATATTTGTGAGCATCAGACTTTGTGATTGTGTACCTGAATCTATCTATTTAGGATAAAAAGGGAGAAATCAAAGAATGAGCATGAAAAAAGGGCAGTGTTTGAACCTCAGAAAAGTACATCCAAGTCTGTTCTGGCTCGGAAGAGTTTGAAAAGGGTACAGTTTGGGTAGGCTATTTCCTAAACCCGTGGGTGTATCTTCCCTAAACTGACTGGAGTGCTTAGCCTATGTAGTTGTCATAGTTCCAAAGCAAGTGTTGACATCTCGGGACAGAGGTGGGAAAGTCCTGGGCATCTGTGGTCTACTGTTCCCTACACATCTCTTTTCACAACTTCTTATTACTTACAGGGTAAGTGATTATCCAGTATCTGGTGCAGTGCTTGCATGTAGTAGTTTGAACTAACTAATCAGTTACTGAGTGCCTCTACTATTTCCTCCTTGTTCAGTTACTTGCTCATCTCATCACTGTCCACAGCAATTATCATGCTGCATTGTAATTATTTGTTGAGTTGTTTGTGTCCCGTGATGAATGCAAGAGCAAGGAATAGGTCTTCTTAATTTTTATGCCTTCAAATTTATGTAAATAGATAAAATGGATTTTAAGGTACTTGATCACTGTTTCCCAGAGAGGTTGAAAGAGGAATTCAATTCTAAGGGAAAGAATAAGTTTGTTTTTTTTTCTGGATCCTTAGATTGGCCTTAGATTGGGCTTAGATTGGGCTCCTTAGATTGGATTTTAAAGTACTTGATCACTGTTTCCCAAGAGAGGTTGAAAGAGGTATTTGATTTTAAGGGAAAGAATGATTTTTTTTCCTGGCTTCTTAGATTGGCCGGAAACTGAACTAAATTTTTTTTAGACTTGCTGGGCTCATGGGCATGGGGTTATGCCTAGAGGTTAAGAAACAGAGAGATTATGGATGCACTGCACAAAGTCTAAGCTATTTCAGGGCTCAGGTAATAAAGTGGTAGGAACTGGGGAGGAGGTTGTTCTCCTTCATTGAACAAGCACTGCTCTAGTACCAAATAAGAAGTGGGAATTTTTGGAAGATCTATAGGGATAAAATTGATATAAATATTGGCACCTCTTGTGAGCAAGAAGAGCTCTCATTCAGGTGACTTTTGGAGGCTGCAGACTGGGAGAAATAGGAGTCACAGAAGAAAAGTGGGAGGATCCTGGATGGTTACAGCTGGATATGATTTGATTGGAAATTCATACAATCCCTACCCTTTGGGCTTCCAGATGCCAATGGGATATACTTCTAATTTCTAGTACTGCAGGTCTGTAGGAAACCAATACACTGGTTCTAAAATTCATATGGTAATTCAAAAGGTCAAGAATGGCAGAGGTAATCTTAATCAAAAGGCAGAAGTCTGGAGACTTAACACTCCTCCCCCACCCCAAACACCCACACACCAAGACCTATTATAAAGCTGTTAAGACAGTGTGGTCTTTCTATAAGTTACCAAGTAGACCAATGGAGCAGAAAATAGGCTTATACAAGAACAGAAACCTCCTAATTTGTGACAAATGGGATAGTGCAATATCCTTTTCAGATGGAAAAAAGGAATGATCTTTTCAATAAATGGTGCTGAGTTAAAAAAGGATGGGGAAAAAATATCTTAATTCCTACCTCACATCATAACAAAAATGAATTTCAGATGAATCACAAATGTAAATGTGAAAGGTGAAATAATAAAGGTTCAAGAAGATAACATAGAATGTCCTCAAGCCCTTAGATTAGACAAAAATTTCATAAACAAGATACAAGA